CATATAACGTTCAATCTTTGGCTGAACTCGGTGAAAATAAAAGGTTAAATTTCAACAAAACATATAGAAATGAAACATTGTTTAAAGTTCATTCAGAACCTAACCAATATGGAAACAAACCTACTTTTGTTTCTGCAGACTATGGAACTACAATGAGATGGGGTCATAAAGCTAATCCGGATAGGTGGTTCATAAACTTACAACCACAATTCCAAGAAGTTGTAGACGCAATGGAAGTGAATGGTGAACCAGATATAGCTGGTATTTTCAGCGCGGCTTTAATGCCATTGAAAGATATGAAAGATGCAGATATTTTGAACCAGTATGAAATGAACATGGCTGATGGAAATATAACACCTGACGTTCTAAAACATTTATCTCAAAGAACTACACAGAACCATAGAGATGGTATATTTGGTGAAGAGTTTAGAAAGACAGTTAGGGAGAGAGAAGGAAGAGAACCTATTGTACATGACCTTGCAAACGAAAGTTTACAAAATGTCATAAAAACTTACTTTGCAGACAATGAACCGAGAAGGGATGAATATTTAAGAAAACTCAAATGGACAGTACCAAATGAAATGTTAGTATTGAAAAACATGTTCCTTGACAAAATAAAACCAACTACAGAAATAAATGACGAAAGACTGAAACATTGGGTAAAAGCTTTCCCATTCACAAAAGATATTATTGGTAACATGGAAAGAAAACCAGAATGGCTACAAAAACATATATTTGGAAACGAGCTTATTCCATATGGACAAGCTCTGTTTGAAGAGCTTGAACCGGAAACTCAGGAAAGAGTCATGCAAACAATACGCGAAGACTCAAATACAAACTATGACAAAATCTTTCTAGGATATAGGTTACCTGAGATGGGCGACCAGAGCCCAAAGGCAAAAAGGACATGGGAAATTTACAACATACTAGGTGAACATGAGGCAAAGATGCAACAACTTGAAGCAGAGGGCAAGTTACCAAAAGCGACACCAAAGAAGAAGAGAAGAGTAGAACAAAGTGAAAGTAGTGAAGAAGTAACTTCATCTAGTGAAAGTAGTGGCAATGAAGGAAAAAGAAGAGTTAAAAACTCAGTCAGGAAGAAAGTAAAGCTTGGTCCGAGTGGGTTCTATTATGACATATAAATCCAACTATTCTATATTTTTACCCATATGAAATGTACGCCGCTCAGAATATAACGCCAACAGTTTTGGATGCCATGAATGGAAATGTTTCCGAATGGTATAACGAATGCGACAATGCCATTAGAAGGTCAGAAATAGTTCCTGGAACTTACGAATATACAACTGCTGTTTCTTATGGAAACGTAGGTGAGTTTGGAGAAGGTTCTTCAACAACAGTAGATATTGCTTGCGACAGGTTTCATATTATTTCTATTGACAACTCTTTCTTATACGTGGAACAAGACATTGAAATAAAACCTTCTGCCAAGTTGTCTGAAAAGAAAGGTTGCAATGGAATTTTCTATGTCGGATACCAATATGCTCCAGAAGTTTTCATGGGATATAAGATATATTCTAACTCTGACTTAGTTCAAACAGTAACATGGGCAAACTATGAATGGTTCGCTTTAAGAAACTCAGTACAACCACAAGCTAGAGAACAAACAGACCAGTATGCAACTATTGAGAAAATAAGAAGACTTGACCCTAACGTTCCAGGAGTTTATGTTAACCTTTCTGGTTCAGATGGAACTGCTGCCACTAAAGTAAAACTGAAACTTAGAGTTCCTTTGTCATCTTTCCTCATCTTCAGGTTTTTAAGATACTTGCCAAACTGGGCAGGAAAAATTTCTATCGAACTTACTCCAAGCAAAAATAACTTAGTCATTGCACCAACACAAGACCCATTCACTCTTACAGACGTAAAGGGAACAAATAAAACGTCATTCGCCGAATTTTGCAAAGACAAAGTTGACTTAGACTTTGGTTTCTCAAACCTCAACACTGAAGTAAACTATTATTTCAATGCTGCTGGAGATGCTTGGGACCCAGTTAAGTTCACATGCGAAAAATTTGAATGCAAGAGAATAGAAAGCAGACTTGCAGTCTATATGTTGGACCCAGATATTTCAAATGCTTTAGCTGCCAAATATATTGCAGTTCCACTTATGTTCCCTATACACCAAATATCTGTCAAAGACTTTGCAGGTGAAGTTGGAAACCAAAGTGCTGACCCAGGTGCAAGAACAGATATTGCCTTAACAACTGCAATGAAACATGCAGATACTATGTTTGTTCTTTTCAGACGAACTATAAATGACTATTCTTGTTTCTACAACCCTGGTATTAAATATCATATAAACATAGATGGCAAATATTATCCAAGAGAAGAATATTCTACAGTTGAGGATATGAGGTCATACAACTTGACATTAGATGCTATGAACTTTAACAACAACTTCACAACAACCATTAACCCTGAAATGCAAAGTTCTATTATGCCATATGTGAAAGTATGGACCCATACAGGAGGTCAAAAAACTCAATATACAAATGGAGACCGTTCAAACTTTTGGCTTGGCATTCCATTTGCTGACTCAGAAGACTTTATGGGTGGTATTTCAACTGTTGGTACAGTTCAAATACAATATACTGGTGACAGAGACGGTCCAGATGAATTGAAAGCAAAGAAGTTTACAAAACCAATAGCACTTTTCACGGAAGATGCTCTTTTGAAAATTCGTTCGATGAAACCTGCTGGGGCTCCTCAGATTGGCATAACGACAGCTTCCATCGAGCAGATTTTGGCAGCAGGTCAGTAAGTTGTTCTTGAACTGACTTCTCTCCGTCAAATATTGACAGTACGCCAGTTTTGACATAATATTGTATTATAAACTTTCCTTTAGAAATATCTGTAAGTTTTGAAGTTATATTTTTGTCTGCTTCAAGAACTTTCACCATTTCAGTTATACCAACTTTCTTTGCTTTATGAAAATATTTAGGTTCAGCAAAGACTGCTATTCTATAACATTTTCCATTGTTTGTGTAAAGAACTATTCTGTCAATGTATTTGTATTGTTTGTGTGTGTAAACTTTGTTTTGCTTCAATTCGAAGAGATATCTGAATACGTCCATCTTTTTATTCTAAGTAAAATGTCATTTCCGAAAAATAGAAGTGTAAGTGTTTCAAAAGGTTTAATGGCGGTGGCAGATGTGAAGTTAAATTCACCAACTCAAACAAACAGTCAAAGTGTTGTTGTCAATGTCAAAGACAGAGATGTTGAAGTGGGGAAACCATACGAAGACGAAGATGGTATAACAATAGTTCCTGTAAAAGAACAACCAACATATCCTGAAGTTAGCAGAGACTTAAGTTCTGTTGCAGATATTCGAAACGACTACCAACAACTGAAAGACAAACTTAAAACTCAGGAGAAGATTTGTCAAGCTTTAAGTATAATGTTAAACTTGGTCGAACACAACCCTGTAAAAGTGAACTCATATGTCATTGCACCTCATGAAGTTTTGAAAGAACTATTGAAACTTTTGACAGAGGCAGACGATATAAACATCAAAGAAATAGAACCCGACATTAGTTGCTGTGGTGTTTCATATAATGTCATTGACAAGATATACGTTATGAAAGGAGGTGAAACGTTGAACTTAAAATATAGTTTCCCAGACGTTATAAAAATATTTGACGACCACAACATTTCATTAAAATTTATTTGCTAAGTAAATGGCAGAAGACATAATGGTTTATACTATTACGACTAAAAACCCTGAGTCATATAATTCTATAACAACAAACTTACAAAGTCCTCAAGGACGATATTGTAAACTAACCTTAAACACAATGACGACTAAAGCCTGTTTTGCTCTTTTGACACCAGAAGACTTTATTGTTGTGAATGGTAAAAAATACTCCTTTGAAGATACTTACTCAGATATACCACCAACAGGTTTTGTTGACTTATTTAATACTTTAAGGACGGGTGTAACATGTGCTGCAACTAGAGCAGGTTTCATTATGTTTGATGTCCGACTGAGTTTACTATAAACGATATGAGTTATAATACAAAACTTATATCTGGTTTTTACTACCAACAGTTTCCTATAACAGGAAAAGGTGTCATACAAGGAATGTCTGTTCCATTGACTTTAAGCACACCAATCTTATATATTGTTTCAAACTTAGGTTCAAAGTGTTATTCGAATGTCGACAGAAACTATTATGACCAAAAGATACTTATGCGTATAAACAATACTTTCTCTGCTGGTTTGCCTATTGTTCATTCGAATGCAGAGTTTTCAGCTTTAGTAAACTCAAACACTTTAGCAAACATAAACTTAACCTTAGTTGACGCAAACTTTGTTCCTGTAAAACTTTTATGTCCTATGTATTTGTCAATGACGGCAGAAAGTTTCGAATTGGAAGATGCAACTGGTGAAAGTATTGTATTACAAGAACAACTTCAACAACAAATAGCTCAAGAACAACAAATGCAACAAATGGAACAAATGGAACAACAAGCTCAAGAATAAAAAAATATTTTTTTTTATTTTTATAAAAAAATGTACAGAATAGATGTTTCAGATTTTTATGACTTCCAAGCATTCAGAAATATGTGTCCATTTCGAGACTATAACAAAGCAGTCGAGAATTTGAAACGTTTAGTCATTTATGTTGACTCTGCCCCAGAATGTTATGTCATGAAAGAATGGGATGTTGTCTTTAACAAACCAAGAGCAACAATAGTGTCTGAACAAGAATGTAGACAGAAACTTAAGAAAATAAAAGTTGTACAAGTTGGAAGGAAGATGTTAGATGCTTGGGATATCTTATTGTCAAAGTTAGAAGATTTTTCAGTTCGAGGTATAAAGTTCTATACACCATCTCCAAACTTCTATTCTATCTTCACTGGATATAAATACGAACAAGTAGAATGGACTTTCAAAGTTAACGCTCCAGAGGATCATAATAAGACAAAGTTACTTGTTGTTGTTGAGTTCGCCGCCAATCATACATCCGAGTTAGGTACCGGCAATGTTACATATTCTGACACACTCTCCACACCAGTTATCGATAGAGTTCTTTACAACGATGGCAACGAAGTAATTTCAGGCAATTTATACTCAGCCAAAATCATACTCAAAAGTAACTTAACAATTACAAAGACATATTATCTCTTTGCAACAGAAAGCAACGCTTCCAGCGCCTCTGTCACTAGCGTCAAAACATCACAAAATGTTAGCACTGCAACAGCCGTAGCAAGCACGAACAAGACAGAATGGACTTTCAAAGTTAACGCTCCAGAGGATCATAATAAGACAAAGTTACTTGTTGTTGTTGAGTTCGCCGCCAATCATACATCCGAGTTAGGTACCGGCAATGTTACATATTCTGACACACTCTCCACACCAGTTATCGATAGAGTTCTTTACAACGATGGCAACGAAGTAATTTCAGGCAATTTATACTCAGCCAAAATCATACTCAAAAGTAACTTAACAATTACAAAGACATATTATCTCTTTGCAACAGAAAGCAACGCTTCCAGCGCCTCTGTCACTAGCGTCAAAACATCACAAAATGTTAGCACTGCAACAGCCGTAGCAAGCACGAACAAGACAGAATGGACTTTCAAAGTTAACGCTCCAGAGGATCATAATAAGACAAAGTTACTTGTTGTTGTTGAGTTCGCCGCCAATCATACATCCGAGTTAGGTACCGGCAATGTTACATATTCTGACACACTCTCCACACCAGTTATCGATAGAGTTCTTTACAACGATGGCAACGAAGTAATTTCAGGCAATTTATACTCAGCCAAAATCATACTCAAAAGTAACTTAACAATTACAAAGACATATTATCTCTTTGCAACAGAAAGCAACGCTTCCAGCGCCTCTGTCACTAGCGTCAAAACATCACAAAATGTTAGCACTGCAACAGCCGTAGCAAGCACGAACAAGACAGAATGGACTTTCAAAGTTAACGCTCCAGAGGATCATAATAAGACAAAGTTACTTGTTGTTGTTGAGTTCGCCGCCAATCATACATCCGAGTTAGGTACCGGCAATGTTACATATTCTCTTGGAAGTCTCCATATTTATCTGCGCCAACTGTTGTTGCTGAAAATCATACAGGACCATTCAAGGCCGGTGAATATATTCCAGTTAAAGTTACATTACAACACTTTGAGGCAAAGACAGGAAACTTCCAATATAGATTCTATGCAGATCAGAAATGGATAGATCTCCCAGACGACAATGTAACTGAAGTAGAAACCCCATCTGCAATTAAGAAATTACATGCCGACGAAGGCAAAACATATCTACTCAACATTCCAGCTCCAAAGTATGAAGATATCAAAGAAGATGGGAAAGTTAAACTTCAAATTAGGTTAGCTGGATCCAAAGATCAAGCTCAATCCAATATCATTGAAACAGAGGTTTCACTTCAGAAACAACAATACGTTGCACCAAGCCCTGATGATTCCAAGCCAACTCCAACACCTGAAAATAGTGGACTTACTGGTGGACAGAAGGCTGGTATTGTTATTGGCGTTCTTCTTGCTGTTATCCTTATTATTCTCATCATCTACTTCGTTTTCTGCAGGAAACCATCTAAAGATAAATCATCATCTGATATCCAAGATGATTCCGGCTCCGGTGTTAATGTGTAATTTAATTTAATTAAGGATGTCAATTTGGAAGAAAAGTGAGAAAATTCCTAAAATGCTAAAAATGAATTTTCCAAACGTACTTTTTTATCTCATTTTTTTGATTTTGAAAAAAATTTGGAGAGAAGAACTCTTCGTTTTTGAATTTTGTCACGATGGTTTTAAAGTATAGGGTGTCCAAAGGTGTGTTTAGCACAAACCTGAATACTGCGAATAGAAATAAACAAGTTACATATATATAAAGTTTATTTAAATATAATCACCATTGGATTCAATCACGCGTTCGCAGCGATCGATCCAGGCTTGAAAGACACGCTTTAAATCATCATGAGAAAATTGCTCAAATTGCTCTCTTACAAAATTTTCAAGATCATCTGGACTCGCGAATTCGCGTCCTTCAGCTCTCTTTTTTAGCGTGCCGAATAAATAAAAGTCAGAGGGTGCAATATCAGGTGAATAAATTGGGTTTGGAACAACTTTGACATTGTTTTCCACCAAGTAATTCATTACCTTATGACTTTTGTGAACTCTTGAATTATCAAAATGAATTGCAAACTTTTGTTTTTGTTGTTTGGATTTCTCAAACTCATCAGAATTGATAATTTGAGTAAGAACATTGTCAATTAGATACTGAGCATTCATCGTATTAGGTTTTTGAAGAATATCAATTGCGATGATGTCATTTACGCCCCAAAAAACCGACAACATCATCATTGGTGTGTCAATTTTTTTCTTCGGGAATGTTTGCGGATTTTTCTCGTAAACGAAAAAGGGGATTTGACGGAGTCAAATCCCCGCTCGCAAAAAGTGGACTTTACATGTCAAATTTTATATGCATGTAATGTCCACTTTTATGAGTTTTAGGAAGGAATTGGAAGCCATGAGTTACTGACATTTCATCAGTATCTCATAGCCTCCAATTCCTTCTTAAAATGGGAGAAACTTTGTCCGAATAGTTTAACATTCGGACAAAGTTTCTCCCATTTTAAGAAGGAATTGGAGGGTAAGAGATATACCATATGAATGTATATCTCTTACCCTCCAATTCCTTCTAGAAAGTGTCCAAACTTTGGGTTAATTGCAAACTATTAACCCAAAGTTTGGACACTTTCAAGTGGAGATGGAAGGCTTTGGGGTATATATTAATACAATATACCTCAAAGCCTTCCATCTCCACTACAAATGGGAGAAACTTTGTCCGAATAGTTTAACATTCGGACAAAGTTTCTCCCATCTTTCAATGTAATTGCTACCTGTGAGGTACTGACTTGAAGTCAGTGCTTCACAGGTAGCAATATCCAAAAATTTAAAAACATTTTATCAGTTCGTTAAAGAACTAGAGCCTCCTAGGTACTGAACCAGAATCAGTGCCTAGGGGACTCTAGTGATCTATATAAATCTGAGAAACTTTGAGGAAATTGTTCGACATTTCCTCAAAGTTTCTCAGCAATTTAGCGAGGAATGTTCGTTATCGTGTAGATATTTATAATATATACATGATAACAAACATTCTCCGCTAAAAGATGTAAAATCTTATAAGAAATGATTGCAAAAGAATAACAAATTGCAACAAATTTTATATGAAACTGAACCTTATGAGGTAGTGATTCAAGATCACCGCCTCATAAGATTCAGTTTCAATCTCAAGTATCTCAAAAGTAAGGCTCTATTTTTTGCCATGTAAAGTGTCACTTTACTGTCAAACCGTTTTTATCGTTTTCGTTTACAACATTTTCATCCTTCGGGATCCATATGATTTTGGCTTCTGTTGCATATTGAAACCAAGACTCGTCCCCTGTTACTAAAAAGCGAAACTTCTTGGATTGATACGCACCCAATATAGAGAGGAGCTCTTTCGAAGATTGGACTCTAGATTTTTTTTGAACTGAATTAAGGTTGTGCGGAACCCAACGTGTATACGCTAGTTTGTAGTTCAAATAATTGTGCAGATAATAACTGACTGTTGTACGTGGTATCTTTGTCATCTCCTCTATCCTTCTAAGTGATGCTCTTGGGTCTTCATCTAGCGCTTGAAGAATTGCTTTGATTTTTCTTTGATCCGGCGATTTTTTGTCAATTTTTATGATGGGCGCCTTTTTGTTCATGAAGTGATACATCCTAACATGATACGTTACAGTGGAATAGCTAGGAGCATCCATACCGAAGCATTTTACCAATGTCTCGTAGATTTTTTTACAGTCTTTGCATTTTTTGCAAGAGCGAGGATGTTTTCTTTATGATTCATTAAAAAAATGAAAAAAATCCCGCCAAAATTTCCCGCGAAACCGCCTCTTGTCTCAAAATTCATTTTATATCCCGGCATGGCGCCAAAATACAACATACTCATCATATACATATATTCATATTTTTTATTATATATTTATAATCAGCATATATCTCCTTTAATAGTCTCATATAGAGCGCTGTGCTAAACGCACCTTTGGACACCCTATATATTATACACATGTATTGATATTACTATTTTTGTATATTTTAAGAGAAAATTATATTCTCCTAAAGTGAAAACAATTTTCCAAATTGCAGCTCCTTCAAAGATTTCTGAAGACTCAACGGTTAAAATTACAGTTTCTATCACAGATCCAGCTGGTCAAACTGCTACCTCTTTATATTAATATAATATTTATTTTGATATATTTTTTAGTTTAACTTTTTTTCTTTGATAAATATTTTATTTTATATTTTAAACCCTTTATTTTTTAATTAAATCATGTCTTGTAAATCAAATTACAACATGGCAAACTTTTGATTCGATATATATAGTTTACGTAACAAGTGATAGCTCCATTAGAAAGCTGAGTTTTGAAAATTACAATACATAGCATATCATTTCCAGACTTTCCCACTTTATTTTTTTTTATTTTTTTTTAAAATGTTTCGTAATTTCAGGATGCTTTTCCCCTTTAACTTTGTTAAATGCGTAATTTTTTTCTATCTGACAACTGGCTTGAAAGATCATTGAAAATGCGATATAAACAATTTCATTTTTTTTCGACTTTTTTTTATAAATAAAGAAAATAAATATACAAATAAAATTATTTCTTAATTATTTTGTCATATTTGACAATTATATCCTGTCTCAAAGTATCCAAATCCGCAAACTGTGTTGCGTATCTCGAAGTGTCTTCGTCGTACGGCTTAATTACATCAGCCCTATCCAAGAACATCATCAAATGAAACGCGAGAGCTTTGTATTTTATCTGCATCAAAATTGCCAAAGCAGGATGGAAATCTCTTATTGATATGAACAGCAACAAAGCGTTCATTGCATTTCCAGTATCCAAGAAGTGGTGGGCGGCTCTTCTCAACAAACTCTTCGACTCATTCGAAAACTCTTCCAATTTGCAGACTTCGACAGAATCTTCCCATCTTCCGTTGTCCTGAAGATATCTTGCGGCAGAAAGATTAGCGCCAGCTAAATGCATCAATATACAGCCTTCTATAAATCTGTGCTGTGCAAAAAGTGGAACAGCGGTTGTTATCAAAAATTCTGTCACGTTTTGTGGCAAAATTTTATCTTCGTAACCGAGAAGCAACGCCGAACAAATGCTTGCCACTATTGTGAACTCGCTTTTGTTGGAGAGACTCTTGAAAACTTCGACAGCTCCTCTTCTATCACCCATTCTGAACTTGAACAACAAGTTGAAAATGGCAGAAATCGGAGTATCTGCAGGAGAAAACAGAGAAGATTGAATCCTCAACGCGGAAACAACTTCTTCTTTCCCTCCAAACATGGAATGCCGTGCTTGCAACCTCGGACCTCCCAAACTACGTGAAACACACTTCCAAATAATGGAATCAGTTGGAAATCCATGGTCATTAGCTATCTCAGCTATTTGAAGTGCTTCTGACCATGTTCCTGTAGTAGGATTCGTTAATAATTGCTCACCCATAAGCTCTAACCGTTGCTGGGCGGTTTTTAGCGGTTTTAAGAGGGCAGGTGAAGTGATTCTTTTTACAGATCTCCAGTCTCTTGCAATAACGAATTTCACGGCTTCGTCATTGAGCGGGGAGACGAGGACGAGTCCATTTCCTGTTACAGCGAATGAGGAAACAGAAAAAGGACAACTTTCCACTTTTTCAAGTGAAAAACCAAATTTTCCGTCTCTCGCGTGTACGTACAATCCGCTGGATGATCTCTCGAACTC